CAGGAAATCTAATCCACTCAACACACAGCAAGTTTTAAAATAGCATTCTGTCCCAATAAAATAACATAGCATACCGTAACAAACATAAACACCTGAAGACACAGCTACAGACCTTGGGAAGAAAGTGGGGAAGACTAGAAGTATTATCAATTATAATGCCAACGCCGCCGCCTGTGGGGACGCGTATCGCAGCCGGCCGGGAAGGCTGGAACTTCTGCCAGGGACGTCCTGGAGGAACCGAAGGTGTGAGGCTCGGCCCGTGAGGGGGATCCAAGCGTGGGGTGGGCGCAGGGACCACAAATCTGTGGGGAAAGCCTGGATGGAGATACGGGCACAGATGCAGGGAGGAGCTGCTGCCATTTCTCCACATCTCCCAGACACGACGCACCTGCAGCCCCGGGGCAGGTAACGCCGAGCATCCCAGCTGGGCACGGCACGGGCCGAATCGCCGACAGCTCTCACTCATTTCCAGCTGGGATGGATCACTGCCAAGCCACCGAAAGGATCTGGAGACATGAGAACCGTAGTTTGAGTTCTTGATGGCCACAACAGAGTTAGGACCAGTACTCGGTAAAATATTGCTCTAAAAATGCCGTTATCTTTGCCTCTTTTTATCCCCAAACGACACCAATTTTGAATTAATAATGCCACTTAGTGTAAATCTCAAGTTTCTCCACACAAGAATATGGATTTCAGACCACTTGAAGGAGTGGCACAATGCCACACTGGACATTAATGACTCACTATATTTTTTTCTACATAAGCCATTTCAAAATAAATAGATCAGAAAATACACATAAATAGCTTTAGTAACTCACCCTTGGACTTGCTGAACTGCTCTGTATAGTTACAAAACGTTTTACTATGGTAGCTCTCAAATGGCTCTTTTTAAACAAGAAACGTCCTTGAAAAGGCGAATATTCTTTAATAAACACAGAGCAACCATGTTACCTCATAAATATTAATGAACATTAAACTGTGGGCCATGAAAATAATTTTCATGCAAAAGGTCTTGTGCACATAGGTGCATTCACCGGCAAAGTTCACATGGAATTCTCCCTACTGGTTGCAAGTCCTTGGGGATACATGGACGTCCTTCCTTTTAGATAGAATGAAGGATGTTGGGAATGCCTCGCTCTCAAAATGTAACATCGTTATAGGAAATTAAAAGCAAACAAAACCAACCCAGAAGCAAGCAAACAAACAAACAAAAAGAAGGCTATTTTATTTGAATGGGAATTTCCTACTTCTTCTAAACTGATTTACCCATCCCTACATTTTGCTCTTTAAATTTTAAAGCATCTGAACATTTGTTCTGTCAGTCGAGAAAAAATGGACTTACTTAAACTCATGTTAGATCCCCAGGGGATATCATGGGAAAATAGGACAGCAGTGCTAAGAAGAAAAACTCCATCTACTGCATCTTTTACAATTAAAAACTTGCAAAGAATGAACAGCAGCAGCTGCAAAAAAAACTAGTGAAAAGTATTTCCTTCCTCTTTATGCTGTAATTCAAAAGTCAATATTGAATCCAATGACCAGCGTACCAAAAGTGCAAATGAAAATTACTTATGTCAGCAGCAATAGCTGACAGTTGCTCTGCATGAAGTGCATAATTCTGCATCCATATTTTTACTGCTAATTAACACCTATCTTCATCAAATGTCAAATTAAAAGTCTCAAAGTACAATCAAATTGATTTGTATATATTGCTTTGTCCAGCCTAAAATGCAAAATAAATTTGGCATCCTTCAAGTATTTCATAAATACTGATAGAGACAACAGGAAAGCACAAACAAATTTGTAAGTCCCCCAGGTTTTTTAACTGTGATGTCTAGAACTTTACCTTGGTGAGTTAAGCCCTACCAAAGCTTTACCTATAATTAAATACACTTGCAGTTTCTAGATCTTCAGGTTCCTTAAAAAAAAATAAATTACAATGACCTTCAGGAGCTTCAGCTGAGTAAGAGCTAAGAAAACTGGGACAAAGAAGCTACGCCCAACTATAACCAGTTGCCTGAAAAATGTTGTAAGTTGGGATGTGATATTAGGAAACTGTCTGTAACATTTTATTTTTCCAAAAGCATAGAAAGTGAGTACAGCAAAAGAAATTCTCTATATTTCACAGACATGACAAAACTTTGCAACTTGGAGGAACTTTCTTTCATGGACATGTTTGACTATTACATTAGACTGGAGAACTAACACTTTGTAGGCTGAGAGTGTTAGGTGGGATGAAACCCAATGTTTCTTATTTGCAGCAAAGGAAATTTCAAGGACTTTTTAACCTTTCATTGTTTTAGATTAATGACCTGATTTCAGTGCATTCTGGTAATTTTGAATGCAAGTCAGCATTAGATTTATTACAAGATTTTTAAACCTGCTGTCAAATGGAACCTGCATGTAGCTGAATTACAGAAATCAGGGTAGAACTAAAGCAATAATGTGGCAGACTCCAAATGCAGATTTCTTGTACAAGAGACAAAAAGTGAAATATTTTGTTAGAAATACCCTACATATTCCTTATTCCTTGGCATTTTTATGCTTCCAAAAATATGAAATTCTATAAGTTAGCTAGGAATTTTATTTAGATTTTTTTTTTTTCACATTTGCTAAAACTCATAAAAAGCACTTTCCTAGCCAATTTTAATATTTTAAATAATTCTGAAGAATGTATTTACTTGCAGATAAGATCTCAAACCCCTTGCTCTCTTAAATGGTCCTGCCCATAAGATCCTCACCACTGAATCTGATCCTTTTCTATGCTCTGTTCAATACTCTCAAAGTCTGACTTCCTAAGCTCCTTTTGGGTGTGATGTTTTGATATCTTTATCCCGTTTTCATACTTTGCTTCCATACTTTTTTCAGTATTTTCCCCCTTCCATTCAGAAATAGTTTATCAGCTGGCCTTAATAAGCCAGTTTATTAAGATTAAACCAATACAAAGTTAAATTAATGCGCGCTTTTTTTTTTTTTCTGTGACTGTGAATAGATTTCTCTAGCAGTTCTTTAAGGATTCCTTCAAGAATAATAAAAGTCATTAAAAGCACCAGTTAGACACAGATCTGGAAGAAATATAAAATACATTAAATATCTCCTGATGTAAGATTATTTTGCTCTTTAAAATAATAAGCCCTTTAAATATAATTACTTTGTGTCATTTTTTTATTAGGTTCCTCACAATCCAAGATAAAATACTTTTTAAAATTAATGACTGATAAGGAAATAAATCTGTTCCTTTTCCATTATAGGTAAATCACCATGAAGTCATTTGTTGCAAGCTTCTTGCTATTAAAAAAAAAAAAAAAAAAGAGGAAAAAAAGTCTTCCCTAACTTCCTCTCCTTACCTTGTTCATGTTGAAGAAAATAATTCTTCTATAAACTAGTATATACAAGCAAAAATTATTATGTAGCAAACATTAAACAATAAATCATCCAATTTTCCTGTATTGAAAGTTAGATTGTCTTTCTTTTTTCTTTTGATAAATTTTGTGATTTGTAATATGCATTCTCCGATTTCAGTGGTCAATTTATTTCCTCCTCAGGTTACATGCTTAATGACACAGTTATACCGTAGTTTATTTTAAGAATTTGGCTGTACTTGGCCTGTCGTGAGCATTATACGTAATCGTGTCCTTCCAGATCACACCTTCCACTAGTACCTCTACAGTTAACACATTGGTTGGTTGTATCACTCCACTGGCACTCATTTACCAGAGACAACAAGCAATAGAATTGGCTTCATGATGTGCGTAGACTAGCCCAAATATTTTTACAGATTAGCATCAAAACATCTTGCTTAATCTGCTCTGAAGCCCTGCAGGAAGGTTGTGTTTTAGTCCAGAGCTGAGGTACAGGTGGTGTCCCTCCTCCTCCTCCCTAGAGCCGTGCTCATGCGCTGGCGCACGTCAGAGCAGCTGCACCACAGCCCAGCCATCCCTCCGCATCACCACAGCTTCTTCCAGCTACTAATGTTGTTTTTAAAGAAAGAATCTCCTCATTTCTATTCTTGGGTGTGAGCAGACTTTGTACTTGTGCGCCTCTGCTTCACATTGAGCCCTTGTTCACTGAAAGCCTTTAATCAATCAGATTTACTGTTTGAACTAATTCAAATAAGCAAGAATAATAAAATAGAACACAACAAAGAAAAACTGGAATTCAGAGATAATACCTCTAGGTTTTTCTGAACATTCCACAACTCTTGTGACCAGCTATGCTGTTTTATAGCATTTGTTATTTTGTATACACATCTATTTTTTAATATAAATAATTTCAGTCTCTTAACTTTTGTGTGAAGTCTGTCCATGCTTTCTGTAATTGCCATCTATATATGGGTATTTGCTACTTTTACTTTTTTTTTTTTAATTGGAACCACCAGAATACTCTAGAATAAAGAAATGAAGACACACTATTATGTTCAGTAGACTGTACGTTATCAGTCCTTTTTTTATAGACTGGATGGGTTGGTGGCCTCTTCTGCATATCTTCTTCCAGTGCTGTTTGGCTTTGTGCACAGCAGATCCATTACCCACTGGCAAATGTAGTACAGATAAGGTAAGACTTACCACTGTTCCTTACCATATCTAGGTAGTAATAAAACTGAAAATCAGAAGTCATCCGTACACTTTCAGAACTAATCAGAGAAGTAGATCATTTACCATACTCTCTGCTAAGAATAAAGCTGCCTAAGTGCAGACAAGAAGATTCAGACGTGGGTGTCAGTCACAAATTCTAGGAAAAAGCAAGTGTTACCTTGTTCAAATACATGTGCCATTTGAATTGATTTTATCTCTGTATAAAAATAGGTATCATTTTAAAAAATATATATTTCTCTCAGAAGAATTTAGCATCTCTCACAAGAACTATGCCAAAATGAAGCATCTTACACAAAATATAAATTACGATATCAGAGTGAAAAAGCCTACCCTTATTCACTGGCAAAACTGAAGAATGCAGGGATAACAAACTTTCTTTTTACTCTCTAGCCAGTATAGAATTACCTTTGATAGGCTCATTTGTAGAATACCAGGCAATTGAATCTTCATGGCCTGTTAAGGCCAGGATCCTGGAGGCAGAGAGGGAAAGGGTTCAGTCTGAGAAAGCTCCTGTCCTCCAGCTAGATAGATCCAGGTAGATCCCCACGCAATTTCAGCAAAGCCAGGAAGGGTCCTTTAGTCGTGGGTTGAGTCATCATCCCAGCCCGCACGCTTGTCATGTCACCCCATAGTAACAGAAGGTCCTCTCCCCCTCCGAGAAATGTTCAGATGGGCAGTGTCAGGGGACATGCTGTTTGGGATGATAACATATGTCGCCCTAAAATAATACCAGTGGCCAAACACTTAAACTCCTGTATGAGTATTTACTACCCATATCTGTATATTGACATTACAGATTGCCCAAACTTGATTTCTTTTCAGAGAGGAGAGAAATCTTTCATACAGACATCACAGGAACAACTGAACTCACAGAATCATAGAATGGTTTGGATGGGAAGGGACCTTTAAAACTCATCTAGTCCAACCCCCCTGCAGTGAGCAGGGACATCTTCAACAGATCAGGTTGCTCAGAGCCCCGTCCAACCTGGCCTTGAATGTTTCCAGGGATGGGGCATCTGCCACCTCTCTGGGCAACCTGTGCCAGTGCTTCACCGCCCCTGTTGTAAAACATTTCTTCCTTGTCAATAGTCAATTTATCACAGAAGTTCTCACAGGAAAAACTCCTACTCCAGATTAAACTGTGGGGAACCAGGAAAAACAGTGAAACACATACAAGAGGTTATTCCCATTTCCATGCGTTAGCATGTCCATCTTTAAGAATTAACATAAGAGACATCCAAGGTTAATTATGTTGGCAACCATAATTGCTTCACCCTTACACCAAGCCAAACTGTAGGATATTTGAGATTCAAAGGAGTTTGAATTGACAGATCCATTTTAAATCGGAGATATCCAGGCACAAATTGAGCTTAGAAAAAAAGCTGGCAAGAACTGTGCGGGGCCTGTGGTCCAAAGTTCAGACTGGCATTACAGCTCCCAAGACCAGACCCACAACACAGGCTTAAAAGAATGCAAATTGTATATTCTGGCTAATCTCTGTGTTGCCTTAGCATATGTGGGAAACCCTAAATATATGTTTAAACTTGATTTTGGAAGATGTGCTCAGTATTTTGCATGTGCTTTTCTGGGTAGGAATGGACAAATACTTATTTAAGTACTTTACTGAAGAAAAGATCAGATCAGGACATTTCACGCACATATATTTCAGTTTGGATATGTACTAGTAGTTAAGCAGTCATCACAGCAGTTTCAGAAGATACCAAGGAAAGAATTAAAAAGAAAAGTGAAGTATCATGTTTTTAATGCTTTTCGAGTGATTTCAAGCACCTTCAAATTACAAACATTTGTATCAACTGCACTCCTCTCATCAAGCCATAGCTAATCAGCTGTAGGCTGTCCTGCTGCTAACTCAGGCAACAAACCACTCATGACTTTAGCAGATGTTCTCCTTTTCATGCCAATAGGAATATTTACTAACATTTTTTCATGTTATGGTTTTCTGTCTCAAAACTTACTCCTCAGGATCAGGAATATCCACATTTAGCCACTTAGAGCCATAAATATCCATTTACTAAGGTTGGTGCTTGCTTGAAAGTTTAATTATTCAAACTAGGGATTACATAGACCCCATGTCATTAAAAATAAGAGTTTATTGAAGTTTGCTGTTAAAAGATGGAGTTCATCAAAACCGGGAAGGCTTTCTGCTGTCAAGCTAAATGTGCACTCTATCTTTATCCAGCTTGTTTCAGCCAAATGAGGTGGTTGCCCAGCAAGGGGAAGAGATGCTCCCTGGTAAAGCAGTATTTTATTATGCAGGTATATATTCTCCAATTCTTAAACAAAGCAAAGCACTACTCTCTTTTATTCAGCATTCAGTAACCAGCACCTCAGGGAGAACTAAGCAACCTTTTATAAAGAAAAGCAGATAAATTATTTTCTTTAGGTTAACATATAAATGTCTTTGCCAATCACTAACTACTTATTTTTATTTACACAGAATTTTCAAGGTTCATAAATACCTTCAATGCATTCCCATGAATGTTCATTTTCCATGTGGATCTGTTAAGGTAAAAATAACGAAACTTTCCCAAAGGCATGAGTTAGTCACAGTGGATGGAGAATTCATTAATCCTATTTCTTGCTAAATCCAAATTATATTCCCTTTTATATTAGTCTGAAGTTTTTCAACTGTAGTTAATGCTACCAGTTGTTAGGTAAGCTTAGATTTTATTGCTTCTCAGCCTCTTGCAAACTGTAAAATTAATTTTAAAAACTGAAATATATGTGAATACAGTCTGATGGCTGCCACGTTACAGAGACCCAGGGCAAACAGAAAGGAGAGGAAACATGCATTGGTTTTTTCCTCACGATTTTTTTTTCCTTGCTTTGCTGGCTCCTTTGAATTGACAACACAGACCACAGTAGCTGGTAGCAATTCACTGAGCAAGAGTGCTGTCTGCTGATTACAAGAGTTAATAGTTCAAATGAACCTGGTTTACTTCTTGTTGCAATGGTGGAGGAATTTGCATTGTGGTTTCACAACTCAGCTGAGGAGGCAGGTAAGCTCAAATTTAAATAGATATTCAAATAAGCTAATTGGGTCTTTATGGCTAATCTATTTTATTTGTTGTTAGGAAAGACTGGAATGCATGTACATAACCATTACCATCCTAAAATGTGCTAACTTGCTCACTTTGATTATCTGACTGTATCCTGAGTGAATCATTGGTACAGTTAACCTATGAAAAGCTGAGAAAATACACAAGAGCTGTATTTTGAGACAGCTCTGGACCGTTACAACACACAAGCACAGAGTCCTAATGAACAAATACAGCGTAGGCAAATCTTAAAGTCTTTATATTTTTTTCCTTTAAATGCATATTCTGGTAAGATTATTCAATAATGTGGCAATACTAACAAGAAATCATTTTTCTTGCAGACAAAAAGAATACAATCAATACAAAATAAAAACACAGCCATCCTGTGTAACAGATTTACAAACACCTTGTGACATAGAAAGATTATAATCACTTTGACATGAACATTTTTGTTTCTTTTTCACTGAATGGTAACTCTAGCAAGGGGAGTTCATACATGTGAATTTAAAAACCCAAATCAGCTCTTCATTTCCTACGATTTACTCTTCCGGTTTACATACTGTTTCACTCTTAAAAATAAATTCAAAACACTGATGAATTCAACAGTTGGGGATAAAAAAACTCCAGCCATAGTCTAACATCTCTCAGAAGGCAAACAAGGCCATCAATTCCAACCAGTGCAGTTTTCAGAAACTCAGATATAGCACTGGTACATCAGGCTGTTATCCTGCTGCAAGTTTCTGTGAATTTTACTGAAATCAAGGGGATTCTCTGTATAAAGACATTGCTGGTGTTGTGACCTGATTTTCAAAGATGGTGAGCACCCAGACCTCCCTTTGGCTTCACAAACAGCTGTAGATGTTCATCATGTCAGATATTCAAGCCATTAGCCTTTCAGCATTCTAATATTTAAGATCGTTTAGATAGATTTACCCAGAGGAAATTACTGTAGCTATTAATTTATGTTCATTTCCTCACACGTAGAGGGAACATATGAAAGTCAAGTCATTTTCGCTGCTGACAATAAAAGCCATACATTTAAAGATCAAGTACGTTGTGGATTTGCTGGCCCAAGCCCTTCATGCCTTGTCAGCTCTCTGTCCTCACTGGAAGACCACCAGTTAATGGATTTAACCTTTACATCAGTGAAAAATAACAGATCAGCATGTCAAAAGATAAGTTACACTAAAGTCATGTATGTCCTCTTTATCCTCCACTTATTTTTATAGTCATTATATCTAATTTCCTTCAACATTGCTTTACTTAGTTTCATAGAAAGTACAGTTATTCAAGCAAGTAAAAGGCAGTTAAAAAGAGCAAAGTTGCAGCTGTTCACAAAGTTCACTACTCTCTGAAATTGAGGTCCCACATGTGCCAACTTTAAAATGTCACTTACCATCTCCTGGAGTCACCCTGACAACCTCTTTCAGCTCTTGACTCCAGTGACACTTTAAGACAACTGAAGGTGTAATAACATTTTTTCCAAGGTAACATAAGAAAAAAAAGAGAAAAATCACTCGGTGTTGAAATGAATCTCTATGTATGAAAAACTGGGGAAAAAAAAGTTACCATTTCACTGGCAGTTTATGTATTTCCTGCAAATACATTCACACATAACATGAACAGTCATATAAATATTGGCAGATAATACGGATGTGTCAGAAGAGAACCAGAGGTCTACACTGAAAAAATCTGGGAGTGTGTGCAACAGCTACACAGTTTCAGCTTGGCTCATGTTTCCAGAAAAACACCCAAGACAATGAAGCTGAAAAACAAAACCCAAGTTGCAGATAGTGAGAAAATAACAGATTTAGGAATTCAAGAAGGCAAAACAAGAAACTGTTAATAACTTTCTTATCTGTGACACTTAGGCTGATCTGACCATCTAAAATGGATTAAAATGAGAAATCTGAAAAAAACAAGGCCAACTTTGTCGATGATTTCTATAGATTGGACAGTGGAAATACTGAAGTGGAATGAAATATGTTATTTATTATTTACAGGAGAGTTTTACCTGGAAACGAGCAATGTTCAAGTAGAAATTCTCAGGCCCTGTACAGCATGCTGCTTCTGCTCCTTCTGGTCCTGTCAGCTGGGTTTCAGAGCCATGAAATGGAAACCCAGACATCACAGGCTCCAGCGTCTGGCTGTGAACGTGACAAATAATTCTCCAAGTGTAACATAAGTGGAAGGCATCGGTCATAGAGAACAACAGCTTGATGCTGCAACTGGCTGTAGTGTGGATTTGTATAAAGTTCAGTGACTTCTCCATGCACCCAGTGTTTTTGTTCTCTATATAGAATATTTCTCTTTTTCACTTTAAAGTTAAAGTCCATACACTGTAAAACAATAACAAGGATGCTAACCACATATATTTAAAAAATTGATTCCACTATTTACTGAGACATCCTCCAAAGGCTCTTCCTAGGATACCTCTGGTTGCAGTTTATTCTGCAGGGTGTTATATGTGAATCCTTGGAGCCAGCACAAAGTTCTAGTGCTTTTGAGTATAATGATTCATAGCAACAGTT